AAACTCTCTGTAAATAGTTAATTTGAGCTTTCCTCTCTCTCCTTTCTCTCCAGATCTCTGGATTAAATCTGGTGTTATATTTGTGCCTCATCCCAGAGGTTATCTACAAACATGCAAATAACCCCTCTCTTTCTCACAGTTTTACTCATATCTCACGAACTCTGGCTCAACGAGCTGGTGTTCCTTTAGCTTATTCATGTGCTGTGATGCGAATATGCAGTAAATAAAACTATTAATAAAAGCAGAATATTATATATTGAGTCTCAATGCCGACGGGAACAAACTCTATACAGATGATCAGGTGAGAAATTGGAATATGTGAACAGTTTAGAAGCACACAGACATAATCTGTAGCTATGATTAAAATCTCTGCTATCTTGGGGAAACACAGACTATACATGTGACTTTAAATGTGCAAACCCCCCCCCCTCTTGCCAGGGTGCCCAGCAAAGCCCTAAACAGACTCTAGTATGTACACATCACCCCCACCCTAATCCACCTCCACTGGCTCCGCAGTCAACGCCCACATTTCATGCAGAATCCTCCTGCTCACCTACAGGTTTAACGTAGCATATACCCCTTATTTGCAGATGGTATCCAACTTTTCTTTCAGACCTAGTGAGTCTTCTAGGTTATCTACGCCAATGGTTCCCAACATTTTTCCTCAAGGGACACTTTTAATATCTACCAGTAAACTGGAGATCCCTGACTATGTGACATATTTAATGGATATTTAAATTGTAGACAATATGTAACAACCACAGTAGAGAACAGCTGATAAACTGTACAATGAAACGCAACAAATGCAGAAAGTTGTGTAAATTCTGGATGAATTTCCTGTAAACATTGCGACAGTTTCCCTGATGTGTTCAGGAACCTTTGATGCAATACTTCTTCTTTGGCTTCTTTTCTAACAAATTTAGTGTTTTCTTCTCCCTGAAACTTGGCCATTCTTCTGTTAGCTCTTTGGTCATTTTAACTATTGTAATGCAAAAGAGGCTCTTTATCGGAGTCAATGTAGCTTGTGTTCATGTCTTCAAAGTTTAGATCTTAAATAATAATCTAAACTTAAAAAACATGTTTTAAAATAGCATTTTATTTAGTTTTCTTCACTAAGTATGTAAGTATAGACCTACTGTGTACGTTTTCTTACACCCCTTAAAATCAAGAAGGCCTTGTGACCCTCTGTGAAGTTTTGGCGACCCACTGATTTAGGCTCTTGGACTGTTTTAATGCTATTAAGGACTGGATTGCAGATACTTTGAACTGAGGTTCTGGTTATTGCCCCTATGATCATGCGGCTTTTGTCTAATTTAGGGGTAATATTTGACAGATCCTCATCTTATGATACCCATGTCTTGTTTTATCACCCTCAAAAATATAAGTACACTGAGGCCCATCTCAACTGTTGAACTAGAGATGATCATACATATGTGGCCGCCCCGTCCCTCTGGAACTCCCTCAGCAACACCACATCCAAGGCGACTCTTTAAAAACCTTTCAAAACCCATGTGTTCAACAAGCCCCATGGTCTGTTTTAATGTTAAAAAAAATGTCACATTATTATTTTATGTCCCTGTGATATTTGTTTGTCTCTAAAACCTCCTTGGTTCCCTTGAAAGGCGGCGCTATATAAATTGTTATTATTAATCTAACTTTTAATCAAGCTGAAAGTTTTCTTTTTCATAACGATGCAATCAGTTTAATCAAGTTAAGTTCAAGTTAATCAATGTCAACCAAAAAGAATCCAACATGAGCAGCACTTTGTGTTGTGAACGCAGCTTCAGTTTTAACAGCTGTAAAAGTGACGTATACGTTCATGTTGTGTTCACAGCTTGTTTCTGCTGCCCCCAAGAGGCCAAAAAAAGAAGTTACAGTTCTCATTGATTCAGTAATTTCTATCCTGGTGCTCCATGTAAATCAAACATGTTAATACCATTTGAATTAAATCGATACAAAATACAGGTGAAAGCAAACAACAAAGAAAACCAATTTATAATTCAAATAAAACAAACTCATACTGTTTTCAGCTAAAGTAACAGCTGTATGTATTTTACAATATCATGAAGCCACTTTATATAGTTGGATATGGTTCAGTACAAACTGAAATATACAGGAAGGACACTAGATGGCGCTCTGGGGCCACAGTAAATGAAGGACTCAGACAG